TTCGTGCACCGCGCGGGTCCGGTCCGGCGGTCTCCGCCCGGACGACGTCCGCTTGCAAGTATGATATGCACTCACCAAGTCGCACAGCGTTAGTGATACCTTTGTGAAAAGTGGTTGACTTGACTTACAGCAACTCTGCAGTCCCTTCTTTTTTTTTTTTTTTTTTTAGCAACCCTGCAGTCCTAATAGACTGTCGATCCAAACCCCTGACAAGAACGGCGGTAAATCTGAGAAACTACCGTAGTCAGTCACAGTCATCCCCCCCCCCCCCCCCCCCCTACACAACCACTCAGCCTCGATACACAGGAAGCCCCCCTACACAACCACTCAGCCTCGATACACAGGAAGGCCTACCGTCTTCCGCCGAATAGAATGTACGGTCATTATAGCTGTATTTGGTTCACCTTTCCGTCCAGATGCAGCGAAAATGACCATATGTTCTATTCGGGGGAAGAAGGTAGCAACTTAGCAAAGGCTCTGTTATTATGTGTTATGAATTTTGACCACCGCATCCCCTGTTCCACTCAGATGAGTCGATCCAAAATCACACCAACTTTACCTCTCTATTCCAGAAGATGAAGCAAGCTTAATTAAGAGATAAGGCAATCCACCATTATACAAGCAACGCAAAGCGACACACTTGAGATGAGCCAACCCGACAACGAAACCGTTGGGCAATATGAACCACAATAGAATCGAATAGATCCATTACATCGTTTTCTTGCGTTGTCTGTGGGCGCAGGAACGTCGGGAAAACAATTCCACACAAATTTTGTTGGACATTCCCTGACTCAGCACGAGGTGGGTGGAACCTTAGCACTCTGCCCAGGATGCATGACTGAGCTGTCAGAGCGGTGGTCGAGCGCACTCACACAACCCCTTCTATCCTTAGGAGACTGTACTGTCTAGCTTAAGCCCCTGACAATTAAGGCAGTAAGAAGCCTCCAGAAGTACAACAATAAAATGTGCCCAGCTCCCCCGCGGGGTGGTTGACGGGATAGTGCCTATATATTCATCTGGGCGATGAGCACTCGTGCTAAAATACCTCGTTGCCAACACGCCGCACCCTTCCACCACAAGCAGGAGAGCAATAGCTCACAAGAAGGAGAGCAACAACACACAAGCAGGGAGCACCAACAGAAGACGGCTATCGGCTATTCCTTGCCACCGCAATGCCGCACAGAATAAGTACGGCTGATGCGGCAGCCGAAGGCTATAAGAGCACTGCAACACTACAAGCACTGCCGCACAGACCATGCTGGCACACACAACCCTTCAGAACATGTGCTTGGAAGTTGGAACAGCACCACCCATGGGGATGATGTCAACACGGAAGCAGCCGGTGTGATAGAACAGCACCGCCCACGGGGATGCTGGCACACAACCCCGTGGATAGAGAGAGTCTGACCGTGAACGTGAAATGAGACGAGAGAACAACACCACGGATAGCAAGAGTGAGGATTCCCCTATTCGTCATGTGTTCTGTTGACTTGCCAGTGTGATACAAGTGGAATACTCCTCCCCATAATGGAAGGCAGCCGCAGCAGCAGAAACCTATTCTCTCTTCATTACCAAAAAAAAAGAAAGGGAAGCCCGTAAAGTTCGGCGTAAACTGTTTTCAGACTAAGTCCTAAAAAGCAATTTCTTTTTTTTTAATGATGCTTTTTTTTTTTTTTTGGGTTCACTATGTATAGCCAGATCTGACAGGTCCATGCAAGGAACCTGAGAGGAATATATATGAGAAGGGCAAGCTGGCAGTCAATCCTCCTGCAATAGGGAGCAATCACTGCTGATCAGGCAGGGATCCTTCGGCCGAACGGGAAGGATGTGTGAGTGTGTAAACGATGTATCTGAGGATTTGACTTTCCGGGGGAACAGAAGGAACCGCACTGACGCGCAGCGCCTGTTCTATTAAAAAAAAAAAAAAACTTCAAAAAAGTGAAAGCAAAAAGGCAATGACAACTTCGCACGGGGAGAACAACATGCATGCCAAAAGGAGAACAGACCAGAAGAGAAAATCTGCCACAGCTCACAAGGAGAACATGGCTGCTTCAAGAAGATTCGCAGAATAGGACAACAACATGTCCTTCGGGACATCCGTTAAAAATTGGAACGACACACAGAAGATTAGCATGGCCCCTGCGCTTTCAAGGATCACACGCCTACATCGAGAAATGGTCCAACATTTTTAAGGGAAAAAAAAAAAAAATTAAAAAGGGAAAACATGCCAACAAGGACGACACACTGGAACAGGAAAGCATGACACGAGGAGAAAGGAAAACAGGTTCATGCAAAGTGACTTAAGCCCTCCGGCCAGTGGTAAACCTGAGCATGCCAGCACCAATATCGGCGTCATACCACATGTTCGATGGAAAAATGTGCAACATGGCACGCACCCAGACAACAAGCCTGGAGAAAAAAAAATAAAAAATGGAAACAAACAGAGTGAAGATCAGTTGCAGAGAAGCAAATTTCTCACCTTTTGAATCTTCTGCAGTGCCTGCAACGGCTTCACGAGCTCATTGGCCTACACAAAAACCCAAAAAGGATCACCGACACCAAGGATCCAAAACGATAACAGTGGTCATCAACAGTGAGCAGGGCAGAGGTATATCAACTGAACGTCGATCTATAGGTGCCTGCCTATACACAACATGTGATACATATAGCCCTACCTATTGACCCATGACGAACACAAACTGCTGTCGTTATTAAGTCCCCAACGGAAGAAAGAAAGGTCCATCGAAATTGGGCAACACACCCTGCGCTGGCTGTCGAGAGTTGAGAGATGTTTGGTTCATCAACTTCATTTAGTTGAAGGTACATGGAGACCCCAAGGGGCCCAAGGGGTTAATCGCTACGGCTGATGTAGTTTGGCCCTCTCAAAGCCACAGAGTCCCATGGAAACCGAAACACCAACATGAGGGATAAGCACAGTGCAAATCAACAGAACACAGTTCCTTTCCGCCCCCCAAAAAAATCAACCTGTCAAGGCTTTCATTCAATAATTGAGAAACGAGGCCAGGGAAACACAAAGCGACTGAGTCCCACAGAAACTGAAACACCAACATGAGGGATGAGCACAGGGCAAATCAACAGAACACAGGTCCTCACGTGACTACTATGGAAGCACCTCTTTTTGTTGCAAATCAACCTTTCACTGCTTTCGTTCAATAATTGTGAAACGAGGCTGGCAAAACACAGGTCCTTTTTGGTATATGACTCAAGGCAGCTTCATTTGGCAAACCATTGAGAGAACAGGTCGATGTAATGAGTGAAAACGCAGAGGAGGAAAGACAGATAACTGAGATAAGTACTTAAACTACCGGTACTAGGCCCAGCTATCGGCCGCGGAAAAAAAATAGAGTAGAAACGTTCGTAGTTGGATGAATTTGGGCGCGCCTATAGTGGCCTGTATGTTTCCTAAAATTGTGACTTGTCAACGGGCACGACTTTCGGAAGTACTGGTGCTTTAAGAGCTGTGCACCAATCCAAATAACATTCCCCTCTCCTCCTTTCCCACGAACCCCACACCTCGCATGGAAGGATGAGACACACGCAACGAGAAACCGTATCCAGATTTCAACGAAAACAGTTCTAGAAAAGAGCTCACTGCGAGGCTTTCCGGCCTCCGCAACCCTCAGTAGGCCACAGAGAGAGGTCCAGGCCGTCCCTAAGCGAAGGCCGCGGCCTTTGACAAGTCGGGGCCCTATGCAGGCGGCCCGGGGAACTGCCTGGTAGGCCCCGGGTCGCAAACCAAACTGGGCAGGTACCAAGGCCGCGTGCCGAGCGGGCCCGTAGGCCCAGACCCTGGCCAGGGCAAGTCAACAAAAGGGAAGACGGCAGGGCATATCACATATGGGCCAGCAAGGCAGTACCGTGTGGCAGCGTTGGGGTGTTGAGAGAGACAGCCAGTACCAGAAGGAAGGGAGGACAGCCATAGAGGTAGGTACCAGTGTGTACTCGCCATAGCTGGAAGGCAGTGCAGCGCAGGAGAGGTTGGCGAGGGAAGAGAGGAGATCTTGAGATAGGAGGAGGGTGCGGGGACAGGCGGATATGGCAGGAAAACAACTATGTGATCAGACTCTTCTGGCAAGAGGAGCGTGGACACCGTGAGATTCAGAAGCGGCTAGATGGTAGCCTAGAGTAAGGAAGTGATGAAAGTGGACACATATCATAGCGTGGGACTACTGCTCGTGTTGTATTGACTTGTGGAGGCGTGACGAGGGCTTTGATTATCACGAGACTCCGATGTTCAGTGTGTTCTTGGATTGGTCTGCTCTCAGCCTTCTCAATCTGCTTTCAGTTTGGTCGACTCATGCATGATCTTTCAACGAGTTCATTCCACTCCGAATTTGCATGTTCTCACGCACTGGTTCCTTGCATTACCAATGAGGTCTTCTTCAGATGAACCAGCTGATGCATCTCCGTCTCCAGCGGCACCATCTTCTCCAGGCAGAAACGCAATCTTTGCTTAACTCTGCAAGATGTCGCATCAGATCCAGTCATCGATCAGCAAGACGCGCATGCCATTACCCGGTTCAATTCATAGTGCAAAACTCAAATTTGAGACAAAAATGTCATCCACCACAACAAGACGCACATGCTATTACCCTGCTCAGTTCATGGTGCAAAACTCAATTTTGAGACAATGACACAATGTCATCCACCACAACTCAAGAAGTGGAATGAGACAAAGGAGAGAGAAGAATCAGTAAGACAAGAAGAAAGCAGAACACAACAAGATTAGACCACTGTCATCCCACACTCTTCAACCCGCCTCCATCTTTATCCCTCACACAAGCCCGTCCTCATCATATATAATATAATAAATAACAATAAATGAACGAATGAACCAGGGATCGGTGTTCGAATAATTTCCCTCACTTCCAGTGCAGAAAGAAGTCTCCTTTAGCTCTCCATCCTCTGCTCTTCCTGGTAGTCCTACCTACTGGATATGGCTGATTGTCCCAGCGTTGTGTGGGACTTTCACAGGACAATGCAGTAATGACTACGACTGCTCTCTCGTTCTTCCCTACCATGCCTCACTTCTGGACAACGTCCATGTACAGCCGGTACTGCATCAGGGCCCTTGTGGATGCCGCGCCAACAGAGGGAATGGACATGAAGGTCCGCCATAGACAAAGGTAAATCTTCTTGTGTCAGTTTCCATCCTCCTCCTTAACATTTCTAAGGTTCCCTATTTGATGCCGTAGCCCAATGCCGGCTTGTTTTCTCTTCCTCTGTAGCAATAGTACTGCGATACTACTCCCCCTCTTCTCCACCTTACTCCTCCACAGGCATGGAGGTCTTCATCACACTCCTGCTCCTCATCACCATCATGCTGTGAACCTCTCCCTCTGGGAAGACCAGCACCATGATTACCGTGTGAGTGTCCAGCACTAGAATGCCCACTGAATGATGCACTCATTTCACGGGCCCTACCTCCTTTCACCCTTGTACTGTTGGACCATGCTGAAGTGCTCCTAAGCGTGCCGGTTCCCTCCTTTGCACGAGAACATGATCGCAGACCGTAAGCTACCACTAGATTACGTACCTGGTTGATATCAGACTACGCTCAGTGCGGTGACATTATTACACTACTCCAGCCGCAGGCCTGTCCGAATTGTTGTCCCTACCAAATTCAATCCCCGTCCGTAAAGTCCTCCTGGAGCCAGATTTCGTCTCTGTCCCTGTAGTTTCACCCACTTACTCGTCTACACGAAAGGATTTCACATGTCTCAGCATCTAAGTTCCTGAATCTGGTTCCAAGTCATAGAGCCCCATGTACCATAGTACCAATCGGTAGGTCCCGCAGGCCCCGTCTGTACTGTAAGTCCGGTAGTTAGGTAAATAATACTAAATATCCAATATGCCCAGTTTGCAGCTCAGTCCCATGGAAGTCTGCGAAAAGTCCGGAAGTGTCACAAGCCGACCACGGCCAACAAGGAAGGGTACCGGTTTGGAAAAGTCCCAGATCGGGAACTCCAGCAGCAGCGAAGCATCAACACAATTTGGCACTCGTGCTTGGAGCGGATCAGCTGTAGGGGTCTTGTGCGGTCAAGCAGCCAGTGAGGCTCAATTAGTGGTACTCGACAGCACCTGGCGCCATAGCATAGCTTACCAGACACACACACACACACACACACACACACACACACACACACACACACACACACACACACATGCCCGCACACACACACATGCAC